ATGAAACAGTAGAGCTAGACTGTGCTCTGATGAAACAGTAGAGCTAGACTGTGTTCTGATGAAACAGTAGAGCTAGACTGTGTTCTGATGAAACAGTAGAGTTAGACTGTGTTCTGATGAAACAGTAGAGCTAGACTGTGCTCTGATGAAACAGTAGAGCTAGACTGTGTTCTGATGAAACAGTAGAGCTAGACTGTGTTCTGATGAAACAGTAGAGCTAGACTGTGTTCTGATGAAACAGTAGAGCTAGACTGTGCTCTGATGAAACAGTAGAGCTAGTCTGTGTTCTGATGAAACAGTAGAGCTAGACTGTGTTCTGATGAAACAGTAGAGCTAGACTGTGCTATTCCAACCAAGGGTGGTAGGCAAAAGTGCCTGGGTTAATACAATACATGAATATTTTCACTCTTGGATAAAATAAGTTACATGTATTAGTAACATTCTAGAAATGGAAAAACAAAAACAATACTACAAGCATTGTGGTAATGAAATGTTTTGATCGAACTCGTACATGTAGTGGTTTTGCATCTTGCTCAGACTTCAAGTTTTAGAATACATACTTCTAGCACCTATAAGACATACTTACTTTTTTAAAACGTTTGAATGTAGGACGATTTCACCCTGCTCTTCATAATAAATAGAAGGGGTATGACACATCCAAAGCTGGCCAGTAGGTGATCGTCGTATAGAACACATGACCTGCAAATTTTCGTTCAATACTCATACCATTGCATAGGTGTACCGTGCTTTTCTTCGCATTATTATGCATGTCTGCCTTTTATAAAAGAAGGTACACACCATGTTCAATCATTAAAAAACATAACTCACTAATCTGGGCTCAATATCGAATGTTTGCTGTGAAATTCAGAAACTTTAATAATCACTTTAATAATGCATCGCTGTCACTAGATGTCTAGTTCGATGACGGGCGAAATAATCTTACCGGCAATAAAACAACGATGTACTCTCGCAATACTGCAACTACTGATTCGTTATTAAGTTCTCTGTGGTGAATTCACCACACCTCAAAAGACCACTGAGACTACTGCTTGAAGCATAACATCTGTAAAAGGTGTGAATATTCCTTTGCTTAGAGCTGAACACATTTTAGCAACCATGTTTGCAGTAAATGGGAGACAGGGCTGTCGGTGTTGGCTCATTTTGCGAGTCAGCCCCTTTCAACCAGCTTCTCGGGTGACTCTGATTTTGAACAATATCTGTAAAGCCGGCGTCAGGGTGCGATAACTCAAAAAATAGGCTCGATCAAGCAAAATTTTCAATATGTTCATGAAAAATTTGTTTTATTTCTGTATTCATAAAGATTTTTCAAAACCATCACATAAAAATTATGTACCGTTGTACACAAAAATAATGATGATGTGGTTGTTTGTACTCGACCGTCAACTACAAACACCATAGATAATGTTTGCGAACAAAAGTCTGGTATGCGGTGTGTCCGAAAATGGAATGCGCTGTGTCATACCCTATCTATTTTATAGTTTATCAGAATTTCTCATTTATAGCAGAACACAGACGCACATGCAATCATGAAGTAGAAGCATGTGCAATTCCTCGATGGCGGCACTGTTAAATATTTTTTCCAACTCTCATGTACGCCGCTATTGATAACTTACGACTTTCTCAACTTATCTAATACGTGTCAACTCGGTAAGGAAATTAAATATAGATATAATGGCGCAGTATCTAGTTTGTGTGTATATTTAATATGAATATTATTTATTAAATCTTTCAAAGCATAATGTATCACTGATCCAACACTTTTGCTTAATGCCCTTGTTCCAACCATCAATGTTGGTTAATGCTTGTTCACACATATGTACACAAACATGTGATTTGTTCTCAATAATGTCTAATAAAAAATGATATGTACCGTATTTATCCGGGTAAGAGCCCAGGGTCCTGAACATGGAAAATTGTCAAAAAATAGAGGGTGGGCGTTTGCCTGGATATCCCCTGCAAAAAAAAACAACGGGTAATCGTAGTCCTAAGTAACTATGAAAAATAACTAGACGTTTTGAGCAATGGCTCTTTATCGATCTTTATTAATTTAATAAAAAATGAATATGCTATGTTTATACTCACTTCTGGTATTCAAATGTTTGGTCAACTAAAGATTTGTTTTATTCAATTATTCTAGGATAAATACATAGAGAGACTTGCTAATGCCATGGAGGAAGTTTTCATGGATAATTATCATGTACATCCCAAACTTGTAGCTGATATGCACCAATATGTCTATAAGAGGTCAGGTAAGTTTATACACAGCTGATATGCACCAATATGTCTATAAGAGGTCAGGTAAGTTTATACACAGCTGATATGCACCAATATGTCTATAAGAGATCCGGTAAGTTTATACACAGCTGATATGCACCAATATGTCTATAAGAGGTCAGGTAAGTTTATACACAGCTGATATGCACCAATATGTCTATAAGAGGTCAGGTAAGTTTATACACAGCTGATATGCACCAATATGTCTATAAGAGATCAGGTAAGTTTATACACAGCTGATATGCACCAATATGTCTATAAGAGGTCAGGTAAGTTTATAAACAGCTGATATGCACCAATATGTCTATAAGAGATCAGGTGGGTTTATACACAGCTGATATGCACCAATATGTCTACAAGAGGTCAGGTAAGTTTATACACAGCTGATATGCACCAATATGTCTATAAGAGATCAGGTAAGTTTATACACAGCTGATATGCACCAATATGTCTATAAGAGATCAGGTAAGTTTATACACAGCTGATATGCACCAATATGTCTAAGAGATCAGGTAAGTTTATACACAGCTGATATGCATCAATATGTCTACAATAGATCAGGTAAGTTTATACACAGAGCATTTAAGTAGTATTTAACATTTTTACGGTTATAACAGCTTATTGTTCAAAACAGAATTTACCCATTCACAGTGGTCACAATAAAACATTTTGTTTTTGAATCACCATCAGTGACTAAGAAAAACAGGAACTCTGCACAGTTTTACTGTGATTTATGAGAATTTGTCCGCAAGTACTATCATAATGAATATAAAATATTTACTACCGGTAAGCATTAAGATTAGGAACACTCGGTGTATTTTAAAAAGCACTCTCTGTAGAAAGTTTCATTAAGGCCAAATAGATTTGTATCTCAACAAGAAGCAGTTTGTATATTTTGGTATAATGTCATAAGAGTAATATAAATGCATGCAATTGTAAATTTTTTATTTGGGAAATAGCATTATTTAAATTACATGTTGATGTGATATGATACGTTATGCACACACATACACCAGTGAAATACTGCAATGAAAACATGTAAGTGAAGTCATAGCACACAGTCACAAGGAATATATTTATTTTTAAGGTATTGTCGGAGTGCAGACAGAAATTGTAACAGAAGCCACGCGGAAGTCAGTTAGTGAAAAGCGGTTATACAGATGCTTGACATGTGATGCAATAACGGAGTTCACCGTTTCACCCGAGTGGTTCATTAGAGGAGGAATGTTATATGCTTTGGCAGAGAACACACATGGAAAATTACAACATAACAAGAAATACTCATTCCCATTGCATGGTAAGCAAAGTCTATACATTGTATAAACACATATCACATCTACTTAATATTTTTATTTTTAGTTTAATTTAGACTTTCCTGTCTTGTGAAAATATGTTTTTAGCAGACTCCAATACTGGTATAAGCATGACACAATGATAGATGATTTCAATAGACAAACAACGTATATTGTTTTTATGTTTTATTTTTAGGTTTGATTTGTTCATATGATCCAGTAAAAGATGAATTGGTTCCTGATTTGTCACATAGTACATTAACACAGTGCTCTTGGTGCCAGGGGTAAGTAGATCTTAGTTCAGGTTTATGTAATTAGTTTTTTCATTGATTCAGTTTTTTACAAGAGCAGTCTTAAAGTTTATGGTTGTATGGGATGTAAATAACAACTTATTCTGAGTTTAAATCCAGGTACGGCCTGTGAGGGCACTGCACCGCAGCAATAGGGACAGGCAGTTTGGGAGGTCAAAGAGAATAACACACACATACATATAGATGTATTGGATCCATATAGGGGGTAGTTTATTACTAAAGCACTATGAACTAAGAAACCAGTGTTTTCACAAGGAATATGCAAATTTATGCAAATGCTATGTAAATGTGAACATGCTGACTTTGAAAACACTTGTAACGTACATATCTAAAAACTACAAACTAAACTAATGGACTAAAGTCCCCCTTGGAGTTAAAAGAGACACACTAATCAACCTGTGTTGATTATTGGAAAATTTTTAAAAGAAAACATAGCTCAACCTGTGTTGGTTCTTAATAAAACTAATACAGCAATCAACCTATGTTGATCATTGGTAAAGTAAGAAAAAGCAATCAACTGGCTTTGACATTGCAAGACTTAGAAATAAAAGGAATCGCACACCCATGGTAAATATCATGACCTACTCATGTAAAAGAGGGTGTGGTGGGTGGGAGAGAAAAACACGACGTCTGTGGCTGGCTTGGCAATGCGAACTGAGTACTAAATTAAAAATTGCCGGCAAACGGATAGTTTATTTATTTATGCTAATAGGGCAGCATAGTTCATATGATTGGTCACAATTGAAATATGCAGATTTGATCTTTAAAACACTAACCTCCCAAAGGGCCCACTAGCTCCCCTGTATTTAAAACTCGTTAACACATTAACTTTGCCTTAAATCTAGGTACGGCCTGTGATGGCACTGCACCACAGCAATAGGGACAGGCAGTTGATAGATAACATTCAAACTTTCCACATACATCATGCATTTTGGAATACATATTCACAACCATCCGTTTAACGGCCTGACTCGAGGTCATCCTCTCAACTCACTGACCAAGTCAAGGTCATTCACTCACTCCACTGTCTGACTCAAGGTCATCCACCCATTTCACGACTCAACCCAAGGCCATCCATGCAGTTTTCCAGCCTGGGGCAAGGTCATCAATTTGTTTTATGGATTGATTCAAGATCCTTCATTCATTTCACACTCAAATCCAAGGTTAAACATATGCTTCATGGTCTGACTCGAGGCCATCCACCCATTTCATGGTCAGATTCAAGGCCACCCATCCATTTTTCCGTCCAGGGCATCCATTCATTTTATGGGCTAGTCCAAGGCCATCCACTCGTTTTACAAGCTGATTCATGGTCATTCATCTGGTTTTCCCAATCTGGTTCTAGGTCAGCCGTTCGCTTTATAACCTGGTACAAGGCCACTTATTTTATGGTCTGATTCAAGGTCATCCATTCGTTTTACAGTCAGATTCAAGGTGGCTAAACTCATAAAATACATTATCATCAAGTATTTAAACAATTCCACAACTAGATCTCTGTCATGATTGAACAAATTTTGTTCAGACTTAGTCCATACATTGAGCATAATGGGACTTTGCATGTCATCTTGTTTTTTTAAAGGGTTCAAAGTGGCTAACTGTCAGCCATTTTGTTTTTAATAAATGTCATTTCAGATATTTATCTCTGACTCAACAAGTTCAAATTTTACATATACATCATCATGCACATCATGAGGTGTGTTCCTGATGTGATGTGTTCCTGATGTGGTGTGTTCCTGATGTGGTGTGTTCCTGATGTGGTGTGTTCCTGATGTGTGTTCCTGGTGTGGTGTGTTCCTGGTGTGGTGTGTTCCTGGTGTGGTGTGTTCCTGATGTGGTGTGTTCCTGATGTGGTGTGTTCCTGATGTGGTGTCTTCCTGATGTGGTGTGTTCCTGATGTGGTGTGTTCCTGATGTGGTGTGCTCCTGATGTGGTGTGCTCCTGGTGTGGTGTGTTCCTGGTGTGGTGTGTTCCTGGTGTGGTGTGTTCCTGGTGTGGTGTGCTCCTGATGTGGTGTGTTCCTGGTGTGGTGTGTTCCTGGTGTGGTGTGTTCCTGGTGTGGTGTGTTCCTGGTGTGGTTTGTTCCTGGTGTGGTGTGTTCCTGGTGTGGTGTGTTCCTGGTGTGGTGTGTTCCTGATGTGGTGTGTTCCTGATGTGGTGTGTTCCTGGTGTGGTGTGTTCCTGGTGTGGTGTGTTCCTGGTGTGGTGTGTTCCTGGTGTGGTGTGTTCCTGGTGTGGTGTGTTCCTGGTGTGGTGTGTTCCTGGTGTGGTGTGTTCCTGGTGTGGTGTGTTCCTGATGTGGTGTGTTCCTGATGTGGTGTGTTCCTGATTTGCATTTAATGAACTGATAAGACAATATATTTTGTATTCACTAGCAACTCAGTGCGTCTAGTGAATGGTGATGGTAGTATTGTCTACAATAACGGTGACAGAACAAAGACTCCAGCACCTGATACACGATGTAACTGTGGATTTAAGCACTACTGGGATGGGACAGAGTATGACAATCTGCCTGAAAAGTGAGTAAAATATGGGGTATGGGAAGGGACAGAGTATGACAATCTACCTGAAAAGTGAGTACAATACATGGTATGGGAAGGGACAGAGTATGACAATCTGCCTGAAAAGTGATTGGAATACAGGGTATGGGAAGGGACAGAGTAAGACAATCTACCTGAAAAGTGATTGGAATACAGGGTATGGGAAGGGACAGAGTATGGCAATCTACCTGAAAAGTGAGTAGAATACGGGGTATGGGAATAATACAATCTGTTCTAAGAATAATACAGATTTTGCTAATCACCTTTTTTGGCATAAAACCAGCTGTTCTTTCTGTGTTGTATTGTTTTGTCACTTTCTCATTATCATTAGTTTGCCCGTGGAACTGACATGGGGTGGTAAAACAGTTAAAGAAACTGTGTATTGGTTCCAGTATGAAAGAGACACAAGTCTGAATAGTAATGCATATGAAATTGCATCTGCTTTGGTACAGAAGCATTTTCCCGGTGAATTTGGCAGTGAGAGGCTTGTGCAGAGTGTTGCTGGAACCATACTTAAAATGGTAGGTAATATGCAGGGTTTAGATATATCACTTATGCTTGTTCACCTGTACAATGCTGCCTCAGCTCCAGGTTACATGTGTGTTACTTGAACAATTCTTCCATATTATGTCACTTGTATGGCGATCAATTCTTCCATATTATCTGACTTGTATGGTGAACAATTCTTCCATATTATCTGACTTGTATGGTGAACAATTCTTCCATATTATCTGACTTGTATGGTGAACAATTCTTCCATATTATCTGACTTGTATGGTGAACATTCTTCCATATTATCTGACTTGTGTGGTGAACAATTCTTCCATATTATCTGACTTGTGTGGTGAACAATTCTTCCATATTATCTGACTTGTATGGTGAACAATTCTTCCATATTATCTGACTTGTATTGTGAACAATTCTTCCATATTATCTGACTTGTGTGGTGAACAATTCTTCCATATTATCTGACTTGTGTGGTGAGCAATTCTTCCATATTATCTGACTTGTATGGTGAACAATTCTTCCATATTATCTGACTTGTATTGTGAACAATTCTCCCATATTATCTTACTTGTGTGGTGAACAATTCTTCCGTATTATCTGACTTGTGTGGTGAACAATTCTTCCATATTATCTGACTTGTGTGGTGAACAATTCTTCCATATTATCTGACTTGTGTGGTGAACAATTCTTCCATATTATCTGACTTGTGTTGTGAACAATTCTTCCATATTATCTGACTTGTGTGGTGAACAATTCTTCCATATTTGACTTGTATGGTGAATAATTCTTCCATATTATCTGACTTGTATTGTGAACAAGTCTCCCATATTATCTTACTTGTGTGGTGAACAATTCTTCCATATTATGTCACTTGTATTGTGAACAATTCTTCCGTATTATCTGACTTGTGTGGTGAACAATTCTTCCATATTATCTGACTTGTATGGTGAACAATTCTTCCATATTATTTGACTTGTATGGCGATCAATTCTTCCATATTATCTGACTTGTATGGCGATCAATTCTTCCATATTATCTGACTTGTGTGGTGAACAATTCTTCCATATTATCTGACTTGTGTGGTGAACAATTCTTCCATATTATCTGACTTGTGTGGTGAACAATTCTTCCATATTATGTCACTTGTATTGTGAACAATTCTTCCATATTATCTGACTTGTGTGGTGAATAATTCTTCCATATTAT